TCGTCAAAAATTTTCCAATCGATTAGTTGACTAATTCAAAAATTTTCAATCGATTAGTTGTCAACTAATCGATTTATTGATTTTAGTCGATTATTTTATTATAAATTAACAAAAGTTTTCAATTGATTAGTTGTTTTTTTCAAAATTTTTATTCGATTTATCAATTAGTTGACAACTACTCGATTTTTTCGATTTTTGATTTGTATCACTACAAGTAAATAATCAACTAACACAAGCAAATGATCAAGCACAAGTCAACAAACAGGCTAATGATTAAACCTGTGAACAGGTTAATATTATTAAATTTATTTTGTATTAATATATATATATATACATAAATATTAATTTTATTAATTTTAATTTAGAAAAATAAGTCAGCAAAAACAAAAGATACATTAAAAGCTCTAATAGTATCGTCAAAAAAGTTATACAAGCCAAAGATACCAAGAAAGAGAGAGTGAGTAGTTGAGGTTTTAACTATTACTATGCTTTGCAAAATGATTATCCCTATCATTATAGACAATACAACCTCCAAATCGATAGAAGAAATGTTGGTTAATCTATATAATTTTGCAGAAAAGGCAGAAGAGGATACTGAAAAGTGTAATATAATAGAAATATGAAAGTGATATAATTATGGTGAAAAATTTGAAAATAAGGTGAAAGAATTAACAAATGAAAGCATGGAAGACAGATTAGCTCATACTTAAATCTACAAGGATATGCCATGCCATCTTTTAGAATTAATAATAGATAATCTTTATCAGAAAATGCATAAGACATGAAATTTATATTATTTATTTAGTAAAGTTGGCACTGAAAAAATTAATTAGGCTGGATTTTTTATAGCTAATCAACTTTTAGAATATAAACAAGATAATATTAATAAAATTGTTAGGCAAGTAAAGTGTAGAAAAACTAGTTAAACATATAATAATAATAATATAGAATTGTTATACATTTTATATAGTATAGAAAAATTAGAAATATATATATTTTATGTAGTTCAATAAAAAAGTAAAATATATTGAAATAAATAAATACTACAATTTTCATTTATTTACAGCATATGTTTAAAAAAAATAACTAAATCAAAACATTTTCATATTTCATCAAATATAAAAGTGTTCCGATTTAGTTATTTTTATTTTTATTAAATTGATTTAGCTTAAAATTATCATCAAGCAGTATTAGGTTTTTACTATCATTGGACAGTATTAATATTAAATTGTTTTTATTTTATTTAACTATTAAAATCGTCTTGGAAAGAATAAAGAATGCTAATAAAATAAATAAAAATGAAAAGGAAAATAGAGTGTATTAGTAGGAATGGTGTGTACTAATAAAATTTAAAAAATTTGCTAAGTTAAAATAACATGATTCAAATGCCACTCAAATTGCTATTCAAATTGCTATTCAATACTATTACATAACTTTGCAGATATGCATGTCTGCAAAGTCATGTAATAGTGTTGAATAGCAATTTGAATAGCAGTTTGAGTAGCATTCGAATCGTGCTATTTTAAATTTTACCAATAAGAAATAATAATGAAATGAATAAAGTTAGTTATTGTTATAGAAATAAAATTAGTATGAAATATGCGATCTTTGCTAGAAAAATGACCCTACGAGCCATTGTTATACAAGATTTTTGTTAAAAAAAACATAATAAATCTATTTTTAGAAAAAAAATCCTAGCAAAGATCCTATATAATTCATAATACTAAAATCACAATAAAGCAATAAGATGTAAATGAGCATATTGCACAAATTCAAATTCAACATATGAATTATGATAAGATTGTTAAATAACTTAATAATTACACATGAATCATTTTTATAAATAATTAAGTATTAATATATAGATTATTTTTAATAAATAAATCATTAAGTAGCTTAACAATTGACACAAGGATCATTTATATTACTGTAGATTTTATTAATTCATCTTTTAAAAAAATTCATAAAAATATTAACTATAGCTTTTTTGTAGAGTATAACTTATCTATATATATATTATATTAAAAATCAGTTGTTTTACATAACTACAGTATATATATTATATATATAACTATATATATTAAATGCTTACATTTAGCCTAGTTTAAATCTGATTTGATGATCATTAGAATTTCATACTGAAATTGCCAATTGATTTTTGATTAAATCAACATTGCAGTTTTAGTATAAGGTTTATTTAGGCTGTACAAAGATAATTTTTTGGTTCTTATAACATAAAATTTTAAAAATGATCTGACAACCTGGCTTTTAATTTTATTTTCAAAAAATTTAATATACAAAAAACATATAAAAATTTTTTATAAACATTTAAAAAAGGTTATTTGGGTAATAAATATAGTTACAGCTATTTTTATAATTTCTAAAACACTTGCTCATTACCCAAAATCTTTTTGGTCATTCAGTAAATTACTTAACTCTCCAGAAACTACATCGCTATCTTCAGACCTTCAGTCCAGAGGCAGTGATATAATTTTCGAAGAGTTAAGTAATTTGCCAAATGACCAAAAAGATTTTAGGTAATAAACAAGTGTTCTAGAAATTATAAAAATAGCTGTAAAAATTTTTTTCAAGTTTTGCAAAATTTGACCTAACCAGGTTATGAAAACTAATTTATAAAGTTTGTATAGCCTTATATTAAATATTTTAGTTCAGTCCTATATAGATTATGGCAACTATAGATATTATATAGAATATTTATCTATTACAATACCTATTGTTACAAAGTAGATTGTAACACAGAGTAATACTAGTGTAGTATAGTATAGAAAAATATTCTATTATTGTATATTATTATTATATTATAGTATTATAGTTATTATTATTATTATATTATTATTATATTATTAGTATTAGATTATTA